TTTTTTTTTTTTTTTTTTTTTTTTTTTTTTTTTTTTTTTTTTTTTTTTTTTTTCCTTCCCACAACTGCAAATAAGTTCGCTCTTTATTTCTCTGCGGTAGCAGAGTAGGTTACCAAGTGGAAACGAAGACGCGAGTGCACGGACGTCATTAAAATTCTCCGGGGAAGCAGTGATGATGAACGATATACGACTCGTACATCCCATTCGCAATTTGTTTTCATATACACATTGTAATGTATACCTCTCACCGAAAATGATGCTTGTGTGGGCTTTCTCGTAGCATCTATCCGCGCATAAAAAATGTGCACTCTCTCTCTCTCTCTCTCTCTCTCTCTCTCTCAATTCGGTTCCTCGCTTTGGCTGTGTAAAACAGCTAATACATAGTAGTCCTTCTCTCGTCACCTTTGACCTTTGAGTGTCCTGTGAAGTGATTTCCAAAATCGCGAATGTACCGCAAATTTTGATATTTGATAAATTAGTTCGCCACTGCATGGGTGAGCCGCAGGAAGACAAAAAATTAAATATAAGTCACGTGTATTAAATAATCGTGTGTTCAAGTGTTATCATCATACCACCCTGTGATCATCCCATTGCAGCGGAGCTTGTCCGACTCCTCCCTTTGTACGTGCTTGTATACCCTGCATGTACTCTTATGTATGTTTCATCCAAGTGAAATTTTCACGTTTAAACTTTTAACGAGCATCGAGATTTTTCGTTTGCGAGCATATCGGGTGGAAATATTGAATGTCAAAGTTGTTGGAGTTAAAAAAAAAAAAATCCCATAAGGATGTCTCTGTTCCCTGGATACGTGGACGCAATTTACTGTTTCGTGAGGTGAAAAAAAAAAAAAGCCAAACAGTATCATCCTTAACGATGCCCCAAGATCTACGAAAAAAAAAAAAAAAAAAACTGTAAAGCGCACGCACCTCGCGGCCGGCAATAGTGCCCTGCGGTAGTCTGACGGTGGGCGGCGGTGCGTTGCCGGGTCCCTGCTGCCTCCTCTGGGCCCCGACTTTGTCCATCTCCCCGAGGCAGAGACACACCAGCACCAGACTACCAACCAGCCAATCCCTCCTCACCGCCATCCCTAATAAAGCACCACAAACTAATGCGTATCGAAAAAAACGACTCGTCCGCACACGCGGTTACATTTTTTAAAGAAAAATTTTCGATTTTTTTTTTTTGTATTTTTTATTTTTTATTTATTTGCCATCTACGGTAATACGCTGACGGCTGCAGCCCGGCTTCGACTGCTGGCCTTACTCTCCTTTTTCCCCCTCGCTGGTGCAGCCGTCGAGTTTGAGGCTTTCTCTCCCTCTCTCTCTCTGTTATAACACACAACAGGACTTTCTATACCGTGTACTGTGGTGGCTGCTTTCGTGTGCTCGTGGTCCGTATATCCCTCCGACTTTGCGTGACCTACCCTCCTTACGATATCTCCGGGGGGTAAAGGGTTTCCTTTTCTCTCCTACCCCCCTCCCACCGACTCCTTCGCTGCTTTTTTTTCTTCTTCCGTGTGAGCAAAAGTGAATGCAGCTCGTGTGGGTGATAGTGGTTTTTATTTTTATTTGTCTTTGTTTTATAAAAGGGGTTTTAATGGGAAATTTGGGGTTTTCTTTCGATACAGTGAGAGAGTTCGATGCGTGGGAGGTTTCATGGGGTGTACCTTGGAAAGTACGACATGTTTTGGTAAACGGTGACATTAAAATTTTGGGTGAAATCATGGGGATCTTGATTCATTTTGGTTGTTTCATTGGATAATTTTAACGAGGATACATTCGCGAGTATGAATGTACAAGTATAAAATAAGTACAAGACGCTCCCTCCCTTCAGTGGGTTGATTCGCGTGGATTGTGCAAGGCCTTGAAGAGAAAAGCTATTCAGGTTTGATTAAATGTAAATTGTGAATCTGAAATCTTTTCAAGTTCGACTGCCTCGGGGGGATTGAAACTAGATGTAGGAAAAAAATGTTTGATAAATTTACGAATATTTGAAGTTAATTTCTCGATTCCATTCTGTTTGTTTAGTGCTTTTGAAAAAAAAAAAAAAAAAAATTTATCGGTTAACGAGATACTAGACTTACAGATATTACCTACAAGGTATTTCGAGATTGAAATAAATATAATTTTTTAAATTTACTTTCAAACGTTGATTTGTGCACAGAAAATTTAGAGCTCAAAAATTTCAGAAGATTTATTTTGAAAAATATGAGGCTTATATGGTTTTCAAAGCTTTGTAATATAATTGTTTTTGAATTGGAATAAAAACAATCATTCTTCATAGGATAGAACTAGTTTACATTTTTTATAAAGCGAATGTTAAATATAAAACTGGTAAAATTAAAAAATAAAATTTTTCTGCACAATATATCATAAATCACTTAATTACACTTTTTTTGTTGAGACATATCTCACGATAGCAATTCAATAGTAAAAGCTTAATTTTCATTATTGTTTATTTTAAAATACTTATTTACCACTTGAATTTCCTTATTTTAAAAATCCAATTACATAATTGGAAATTTTATAAATATTATTTTCTCTCAATCATAAAACATTGTTTAAAATTTGGAAAAATTATATTTGATACCATCTAATTTCGGAATTTCAAGTATTTTGAAAAAAAACCAGGAAGTGAATTGAACAACTCATAAAGGTAACATGCTCAATCATAGTTTATTGAATCCTTAACAATTTACTAAATTTCTCATATGTACAAATGATAAATGCTACAAAAATAATTATGTAAAATCATTGTCGTCATAAACCATCAAACTGTGAAACCAGATAAAAACAAAAATGCAAAAACTGCGTTGTATCGACAATTCAGCTCTTTCCCCTAAAAAACAATATCTATAAAAACATACCGTGATGCGGCATGTTTATTGCGCATATGTGTGGTTTATCTAATCGAATTTCAAAAATTTTTTTAAGTTGTTGCCATGGTAAGAAAAAATTTGTCAAATTATAAACACAATATGGTTACATCAAAAACAATTTCACGATAAAAGGGCTTTGCAATTGATAACTATACAGCCAAAATGTCTACTCACTTTATTATTTCAATAAAAACAAATTCACTTAAAAATGAATTTCATCCAGTTTGTGATTTTCAGAAGATTTTAACGCAGTATCTCTTTTTAAACAAACCACATTACTGAGCTGAGAGATAACGATTTCTTAGAACTGAGAAAATAACCCCTCGCATAGTATACCGAGAATATTCTCTTGAAAGCAGATAATATTTTTTTACATTAACAATATTTTTTATTTCAAATAATTACTTTTTCAAAGAGACTATGCACTTGAAATTATTCCAGTTAACATTTTCTTGACTCGAAGAAATTTCTTTTCAGTGCAAGCACCAAAAAAGATCTACATGTATTTCACGCACGACTCGTAAGTCGGGATGACGTATTTAATGTTGGCGAGGGCCTCCTCACCGCCGTGCAGCTCAAGTACCTGCAGCGTCTCCTGTATTAAGTCGGGCACGTTTTCGCCCCGCTGATGCGAGTAATCGATCTCCTCGCCGTAGTGCACTGCAATAAATTTTAACTTTTATTTTCACACGACCAAATCAGACTTATTTTTAAAATTTTTTACAACTACAAACGCCAAGGTAACCCCCTCTCCCCCACTTTCCTAACAAACCAATACACATCCACGAAATAGACAACCAACTTACCAGTTCGATCCTTGAGTATGTTGAGGACCGGCAATATTTGCCGGAAGTACGGCACGAGAGCCTGACCAACGCAGTGGTCGCTTTGCACGAGTCTCTGTAACACCCGCAGGGTTCTGCAAACGATCCTTGAGATTTTTGTGTCAACCGCCCCTAAAACCCATCCGCAACACCAGCTGTGAGCAATATACATTTGGAATGAAAGTAACAAAAAAAACTCACGCTTGATCGGACGAACGAGAAGGGGCAAGACGGGCAGCACCTTGTTGGTGCCGTGCTCGAGCATGTCCGCGAGAGCGTGATCGACCAGCTGGGGAAACGGTGGCTTGCACTCGACCAGACCGTCGAGCATTAGCGGCAAGTAGAGGTTGTAGTCGAGTTCCTTTAATTCCTTGAACTCCTCGAATTTCCAGCTGACCTTCTGGCCGTCGCTTTCGAGGGTCACTGGTAGGGCGCTCCTGTCGTAGAAACGACGGAACGTGGTTATCCCCCTCGGTGGGCGCTCCGCGTGAGGGTCGCAACGCGGAGGCCGGGCCACCACTGTGTTGTCCTGTTGATGAATTATATTTGGGTGAGCTTTTTTTAGTTTTATATCTAGTACATTGTATTATTTCGTTTTGTTTTTCAAACGGAGGTTAGGTTATGTTTTCCGATGCACAAACGTGGTTCGGGTCAAGTGGAACAGAGCGAGGGGATTCATAGGTTATGAGTCAGAAAGTTGGCAATGCGCGTGGGTAAAAAGTGTCAATGTAGATTTTGTGGATATATACGTGCGCGGTAAGTGATGCCAACCTGGAGGGCTTGGATAGTGAACGCCGGGACAATGCGAGGCCGTGCCGGTGTGTGCCTCTGCCTTCTGGCACGTATCTCCGACAAGAATTCGCTCTGCTTTACCATCCTCTCTTCGGGTATGTATGCTGTTATACTTGTTTATTTTGTTTACTTTTGTCTATTATAATTTTTTTTTTNGGAGTTTTTTTTTTTTTTTTTTTTTTTTCGAAAACTTAGTAGCGGTGGCACATTTCTGGGCCTCTTAACAAAATGTTGCATGTGTTAATCGTACGAAGGATTTTGATGAAGGGCCCCGCTGCAGTGGCCACTTGCTGAAACTGCAGGGTAAATCGAGCTGTTGGCGCTGTTGTGAGGGTAGCTTAGCAACCGTTTGCGGTGTACCACTTTCTTCATTGATAAAACTTTGTGCCGCAGAAGCCAGAGTTTTTGGTTGCAGAGCTGTTATACAATACATAATATATGTTCTACATTTGAGATTGATAAACATAAATCTCACGGAATCTCATTCGGCCAGAATGGAGCAAATTAGGTGTATTATATGGACCAGAAGATTTTAATACCGATTTTTTTTTAGAAAGCGAAACGGTAGCATCTCATCATCGCGTTACTTGCGATGAAACATGTGTATTTATTTTTTTTTAATATCTAAATTAAACCTTTTTAAGCCATGTTTTGCTTAGTTTTGCAAAGTGTTTATTTTACCTTAAAAATGGTCAAAAACGAACTAAAAAAAAAAAATAATAATAATAAAGCGGTTAGATGGCATCAGCGAGATCAACTTTGGTTGCTCGTGGATTATGTTCTATCGTTTTAGATCAGTCAAATCAATTATACATCGCCAATTTTACTTGACTTGTATCAAGCTAACATCATCGATCCTATATTAAAAGGCATTGTTTTTCAAAATAAAAAGTACATTCATGAAATGAAAGTTATTTTCAACATGAATAAATTACAATTTATTCACATGATCCATTCACTACGTTTACTTACTACTAAATTTTTTCTTCGAATAACAAAGGCATGTCACCCAAAATTTGATGTCATAAGTGACTCTTGTGGCGAAGCATCGTTGAAACAAATTACAAAAAAAAAATTCATGATTTAGAGTCAATATACTTAAATCATTCAGTGAGTTCGTAGTTCTTACAACTTTAAAAATACATTTTTTATTTTATTGGCATGTAAGAAACATTATTAGAAAATTGCGTTTGAACAAAAAAATCAATAGAATAACAAAAACATTAGGTACTTATTTAATCAATTGTTCACTTAACCTACGAAAGTTCAACCCATTGTTTAATAAATTAAAACTTGCACTTGATTACTTTTTCTGCCAGTGCTTAAAAGGACTTCAACTACTTTACATGACTTTTACGCACCCATTTTTCGGTAACTTTCATGTTTATTTTAAATAACAATTTGGTACGTCTAACTGATTTTTTTCCCTGACCTGGAGTTAACGTTAGATACTCTCAATTTAACTTTCTAAAGAGTTGATGTAGGTTTTAACAAAAATTGTTCGTGTGAAATATACGTAGTTTCTATTTTTATCGTATTTCAAAATCAACAAATGATTAAAATTTTACTAATTCGTGGACAACGTCAATTATCGTACAGTTAACGTACCTCGCCTGTCGCTTATCTTTCATTGCAGACGAAGAACATCGAATATCACTTAGTTCTTACAACGAGTCGTACACTCTAGGATTGCATTAACTTTTTGGGTGTTTCGTACAATAAATACTTAATAATATCGTGTCATAATTTTGAACATAATATTTAGTAAAAAATACAGTACGTATACACGTCTATACACATTTATTAAAGTTAAGTTGCCTTTGAAGACGTCATTAATTTATATTTCATAATTTTTTGGGACACTAAGGGACATCCATTGTTGATTAAATATTAGGAAAATTTATAAAAACAGCAAAACAGTTGGATTCAACAAGTGCTTGCATAACGCAACAATACCATTGGACATTTTTTTATTTTTTTATTTTTTATAAAGTAAATACCTACTTACGTAATATATTTATTTTTTAGGCTTTATTGTAAACGAGTACATACAGCCTTGATACAGTAAGGCACATTTTACATTATAATAGTTACATATTACAAGTAATTGGTTACATCTTACATTATTAGTTACACATTATTGGATACACTTAGTAGTTTTTGTTTGTTCGGTGATGATGTCACATAGACCACCTCGAGAGCAAAGGATCTATGTGGTAGGCAATTTTTGCTACGAGAAAGTCGCCCATCCCTTCACGAGGAGTATTGTGTGGTGAATAAGCGCATGTGAAAATTCACAGAAGTACTTGCTCGGGAGAGTCGAACTGGCCGGGAAACGAACCCGACCACCTGGAAGCTAGCACGCAAATTATCGACTTATGCAATAAAAAAAATACTAGGTGACGTGTTTCTATCTGCACATTTCATTTATGCAAATAATTGGATCTGCACATGCCTCAATTTTGCATAAAAAAATAAAAAAATATTTTCCATTTGCAGGACGCAGTTGGATAGTGATATCTCGGCAACAAAGGCATATTTGCAACTGCACACAGTTTTAATAAACTGCACATTATCCGAACTTAATTGCACAATCAAAATTTCTATCTGCACAACCTTATTCAATTAATAAATCAATTAATAGGAATAATCCGTATTGTAGCTACGAGTACTCATGCACTGCGCATGTCCAGCTGTTGACATCGCTTATAAAGGGCGTCAAGCCTTGGGTGGGAAAGTTTAAAAAATTCTCAAATTTGTGCATAATTTTAGTAATTTGTTTTGTATTCAAAAATCAGTTCTGGTCCGTCATTAAATTTCCACCACGAATCAGGCCCCATCAAATAAGATGCCAGATTTTTTCTACGTCTTATGGATAAGAGTAACTTATTTTATCCATTCGGTACTTACAAAATAATTTCAACTTATTTCAAAAAAATTATACTTAGTAGCTACTACACGTCCACCTGTAGGTACTAAATAGTTCTAGGTCAACCAGAAGTACCTCATTCTTGGAAAATTTTGGAAATCTTGACCCTTAGCATCTTTACATCAAGTAAATCCACCTACCTAACAATGACACTACCAGTAACAACAAACTGTAGCTCGTCCTGTTCAGCTAAAAATCAAATGATACGCAAGCAGATGGGTCTGCATCTGCAGGTAAACTTTCTCACCCAGCGCTGCCTTTTGACACAAGACCTGATCTTGATCTCCATGCCGACATTTATTTTTACCAGCTCAAAGTATTTTTACCAGCTATATGAGTAAATGAGTACATCAAATTTGAGGTAGTCAACTTTGCAACCTAGCTTCATGGTTAACGTAAAGTATATGTGTAAAATATGCAGAATGTATCAATGCCATGAAGCAGACAGAGCAGACTGCACCACTTCTCTTGCATTCGCATGTACATATATATGTATGAAATTTGTATTTCTATTTGAACTGTTCAAATTGAGCATGTGCTTTTTTTACAAATTCCTTATTGATAAGTAAGTCCTTATTTTATATAAAATACGAAAGCAGAGAGTAAAAGTGCATGAATGTTTTATGTTTGTTTGAGAATTTTTTAAACTTTCCCACCCAAGGCTTGACGCCCTTTATAAGCGATGTCAACAGCTGGACATGCGCAGTGCATGAGTACTCGTAGCTACAATACGGATTATTCCTATTAATTGATTTATTAATTAAATAAGGTTGTGCAGATAGAAATTTTGATTGTACAATTAAGTTCGGATAATGTGCAGTTTATTAAAATTGTGTGCAGTTGCAAATATGCCTTTGTTGCCGATATATCACTATCCAACTGCGTCCTGCAAATCGCAAATATTTTTTTATTTTTTTATGCAAAATTGAGGCATGTGCAGATCCAATTATTTGCATAAATGAAATGTGCAGATAAAAACACGTCGCCTAGTATTTTTTTTATTGCATAAGTCGATAATTTGCGTGCTAGCTTCCAGGTGGTACGAAACCGCAGTCTCCCGCGCGCCGTCCCACAAACCAGCCGACCGAGCCACCGCGCGCTCAACTTTACCATTGGACATACGGAAAGGTGAGTTTTTGTCTGTAAGATCAAATTTTTGTTTCAACAAATTCGCACAGGAATTCGACTGCACTTGTACATTTTGAATTTCACGTGGATAAGAACGAAAAAATCCAACAGTAAGATCAAGCATTAATTAGCTAACAGCAAATAGGCAAGATGTCGTAAAACATCACAATTTATCAAGTTGGGGAAATACCATGGCCTAGTGGACTCTGATATTTTTCGTAATGTATTGTATTAGATAAACCTAAAAATGTCAGGACAGGATCTTAATAAACGGGTAAAATAGTCATCTAGAGGGCCGCCTTGGCCTCCCTACCAGGCACGTTGGCGCCTCGAGCGCCGGAAATTTGATTGACTCGAAAATGATGATTACTTGACATATTGCATATCGTAGCTCAACTTTTTAGTCTTTAAGAATCCAAATTCGTTCAAAAATCCATTTTTACGGGTAAATCTCTTGTTTAGGGTGTTCTGGTGAAGACCCTACTTTTGTAAATAGCGACAGTTCACAAAAATTAAAAAGTATTTTAATTAAAAAATTGTATTACGTAATCAGAGCTAATAAATCTATAACAAATTCCATTTCAAGCCTCAAAATTATTTACAACGTGGTTCATGAATAATTAAATTCATAGCCAAAAACATGTTTTTTTTTTCAATTTGCAGAAGAACTGCAAAGTCAATTCGATTACACCAAATCTCCTATTTTTTGCTGCTTTTTATATTTTTTTTTACCTGGGCCAGTCTAATAGTCAGATGAGAAGTCTTTACGCTCACTAACATTGTACTTTGAGTCCTACAGTTCTTAGCTGTTTTCGTCAAGCTTAAATATCTCTGTTTTTATTCTCAACAATTTTACACTTTTTCAAAAAGTAACAATTGAATCTAAAGATTTATTACTTGGAGCGTAACGACCGCGATTTTAGAAAAATGTTGTCAGAGCCCGTAATGCTCTTATTTCTTCTCAGAGCCCATAACACTACTCTTAATATTGTCATCGATTAATTATTTCGAGATGACCCCAAAAATA